TAGGGGGATTACCTTGCAGGATATCTGTATGGCGGCAGGCTGGGCCTCCCCGTCTACATTTATAAGGTTTTATAACCTAGAGGTTCCCGCCTTACAGGCTAAACTACTTTCGGTTTAAAAATCAGTATTGTCTGCCCCGTTGTTTCGGCTCAGAATACTACAACCGCTTGAGCACCGCTCGCTGATCGATAAAAACTCCATGGGCAAAAGTAAGACCCATACCGTTACCCAGTTCAGGCCGAACATTTTCACCCTGACTGTGTGGAACACTGTTGATGTGATTAGCTCCCTTAGGACGCTAACTTATTGGGAACGACGCTTCTAGCCTCTCTTCTCAGACTCTTTGTGAGTCCCTGGTGATTGTGCACTATATGAGCCACAGGCACCTGCCCTTGGAACTTTGGTGTTGGTTCCCAGCACGCACGGCGTTTTACACTGTGTTCCCCTAGCGTAAGATATTACGCAGTACGAGAGAACCTCTCGTAAGAGAACGTACTCGGTTACTAACGTAACCTCGGTTCTCTCTAGAAGTACGAGTACTTCGTATCTTTGCCGTGCCTGCAACACGCTCTGGTTCGCTTTGGCGATGAAAAACCAGATTATATCAGCCCATCGAGCTATATTTATAGGCCCAGGCCACGCCCGCTTTGGTGGGAGGTGACGTAGTGATTGGATCTGACGTCACCAAGGGCCATTGGATCTGACGCCCATTGGATATGACGTCACCAAGGGCCTCTCTCGATAGGCTGCTGCAGTTGCCGCAGGACAGCCAATAGGCACGCAAGCTGTCTTGCCTATGTCTGCATGCTGCTGCAACGCGTTTTACATTAATTCAAAATTAAGGATAATTTTTGGCTTCAATATCTTGTGGAAAAGAGGTTTTCCCCGAGCGTAAGATATTATGCAGTACTTGTTCCCTCTTCTAGAGAGAACCGAGGTTACGTCAGTAACCGAGTACGTTTTAGATTTAAAAAAAAAATAATAATAATTAAATTTTAGAGGGCCAAAACCATTGATTGAAAGAGAGGTTTAATTAGCTAGTAGTGTGGAAACACTTTACCGTGACCAAAAAGGACTTTCAGTTTTTCGACAAAAAGAAAACATTTTCTGTAAAAAAAATGGGTGGATTACTAATCAATAAGAATTACATTTCGGTCTGTTCATCACACAACGCTACTGTTTAACAGAATTTCCAACTAGTCTTTTAATGTCATTTTATGTTAACACTTTTTTTTAAGTGGTAATAATTACACCATTTAGTTTTACATTCTATTGAGATTTAAATGTTCATTAAAAATGAATGGTTAAGTCATTCCCAATCCCTAACTTCCTATTATTTCCCATTAGCCTCCAGTGGTTCAGTGGGTCTCTTTTGTGGAATCCCAGGATAAGGTATGCAAGGTCATTTTTAGCATACTTGGCTCTTTGCTAAGGTGGATCAGTGCTTAAAAGTCCACTACCTCTATCCTTGGTTCGATGCAGCCACACAAGAGCTGAGGATCAGAGGGTCCATTTAACATGTAGACCCTCACGGGGTATTAAATGCTAACAGAGGCCAGGTGGATGCACACTGCATGTTTACAGAGGAACCAGAGAGGTAACTCAATGTCCAATGAAACATAAATTTAGATGAATTCACATTCGCCTATTAACTGTGTATTGTGCAGAACAGAAATAACCTGATACAATTTTAACCACAAGAGCAAAGGGTATTTTGGTAAACTTTGATATTTTGTGCCGTGGGGGAGGGCAACACATTTTTGCGAGAACACTGATAGTTCACCAAACATAGGGGGGAAGAGCAAACATATGAAAGCTTCTAAACCAGGGCTATTCAATTGGCGGCCCGCGGGCCAAATGCGGCCCGCCAATCATCTCCATGCGGCCCGACGGCACCAACCTCCCTCCTCCTCTTTTTCTGGCGGTGCGGCTAATTCAGTTTGATACTCGCTCCGGTTGACCTGAGAAACGTTTTACGTGTGAATATTTCAGCAGTTATTATATGTGTTCTGAATTTATGTCGACTGAACCAGCGATAGGCTACCAATCATTCGTGAATGAATCATTCATTTGCTTCGATTCTAAACGCGCTTGCATAGCGGTCTAAAACTATTCGGATTCATTCGGACCGCTCCGTTACTGAATCAGCTGAAGCGGTTTCTCGTTCAGTACAGTCTAACAACAAATAGCGATGTTTTCAGTTGTTTCACTAGTTGTTTCAACACGGCCCAGCACAGAGTTGCGTTTACTCCCGGACACTAATATTAAACAGCGTTGTGACAACCAGTGAGAAGTGTTTCAATTCGACAGACACCTCTCTGTTACAAACCAACAATCACTTGATGATTTAATTAGTATTAAATCGGATGAAACAGCCTCAACATTCCCAACAAGACTGATGAGGAAAGCAGAAGAAACACTGTGAGCATGAACGAAATTAGAAGACTTTAAATCCCCTAATCACCCTTACAAACATTTACCATGAATGTTCTGTAGTAATTTACCATGGTTGGGCAGAAATGTGCAATATTTATATTGAATAATATGTAGTAATAAATAAATATAGTAAATATATATATACTATAATATTATATAGGCCTATAATAGTAAATATAGTGATTTATATTGCATTAGTTTTATTAGGTGGGTAGAGGAATAATTAATGCTTGTTATGAAATTATGTCAGTTTCTTTGTAAAGGTGCGTATAGTTTTTAACATTTCTTTATACAGTGGGAGTGAGTAGCCTGTGGTTAACAAGTCTCACTGTCAGAATATTTTCATTTAAGCATAACAATTATACAAAATTATTATTATTTCTCACCAACAGCTATAAGTTTGTATAAATAATTTATTTGTTCCAAGGAAAATAGTTGTACACAGCTATAAATTATCAAGTCTAAATTATAAAGTCTAATACCATATTTCCAAGTAAATACCACATTTTTTAGGGTTACTTTAACTTATTTATTGAAACTGTTATGTTTCAATAAATAAGATAAACCCCCAAACCAACCCACCGGCCCACCTCTACTTTTCGATTTGATAATGCGGCCCTCGAATGAAACTAATTGAATAGCCCTGTTCTTAACAGTTTCTCTTTGTTTTCAGTTTTTTGACAGTGAAAGTGACGGGACTGTGTCTGAGACAGACGATAATGTTGAGGAGGACCCTGATTATAAGGCATTCTTGAGAATGCCTTATGAGACTCCTAGAGTTGACCCTCCCGTTATCTCTCAACCACAAGCAGACATTACCTTCCAAAAATGGAATGTTATTACAGTCCCGCTTGCTTCCTACGACAAGGTACTGCCGTGGCCACAAGGTTTTGGCAATGAGTTTGAATTTTGAGTTTTGCAAAGTTAGCTGCTTCAGATGTTGTGATGCTGATTCACATTTGTCTATATTATTGAGCAGAGTAATCAGATGCATTTTACATATTTTCAAAAAGCTTTATTGGCCAATAAACTTTAATCACAAAACCCCAAATTTCACTGTTTTTGGCCGTGGCAATCTAATGATATATCATCAGCACATGATTGCTATAAAAGGAGGGAAGAAGTGCTTCTAATTATTGTGCTCCCTAGCCCACCTTTGGGCTTTTATAAATGTGGCAACTGTGCGCAATGCTCCAATTCGACCAATGCAAAGGACTTTTCACATGCACGTACTGGTAAGAAATATTTCATTTCTTCATTTATTAATTGTAATAGTACTCACATAATATACATGTTAAAGTGTCCCTGTGGACTGGTATACATAGGTCAAACAAAACATCAATTGAAATTAAGAATAGCTGAACATAAAACAGCAATTCGTACCCAGAATATAACATATGCCATGGCGAGGCATTATAAGCAGGCCAATCATGGTTCCCCTGCATCTTTGAAGTTTTGGGGAATTGAGAAAATTACACCCCCATCTAGAGGTGGTGACATTATCAATAAACTTCTATGCAGGGAAGCGTTCTGGATACATACGCTTAACACTCTTGAACCTCTAGGTTTAAATGAAGAATTGAGCCTATCATGTTTTCTCTGAATATTTTAAACATATTAGTGCATTTTGTGAGATGTAGATATTTCGATTCCCATTATACTGTGCACATTTCATGTATGTTTCTTGTGTTTGGACATTTACCCTTTAATGATTGATTGTTCGAGTGTGGCACCTTGTTGTAGATGGGTGCGTCTTGGGTGGTTAACGCCCCCTTTACACACCTGTGGATGATCCTTATTAATGGTTTCATTACCCATGATCTCCAAGGACTCTGATGAAGATGTAACTTTACATCGAAACGTTAGTCACTGGTTTGTACCTCAAATAAATGGATTACTAAGAAGATTTATGTGTTGCACCGGCGATTTTCCTTTTCTGCCTTGTCTTGTCCTGCCCTGGTTGCACCGGATTGTTTGGGAATCACAGTAGCGCAGCAAGCCTTCCTTCTCATATTGTGTTCTTGTGTTAGCAATGGTTACCTCCAAAGCAAGATGTGCAGCCATCGTCACTTTTCATCAAAATGGCCTCACATGAGGAGCTTTCGCACCGGAGGAAACTTTTCATAGTTCCTAGAAATATTGGCGGAAGTACCCGGATTTTGGTATACGCTACACAGCATACGCTAATAACTTTGTTTTCATTACTGTCTACTTTCTATGTATTTAATAGTTCTATCGAATAACATATTAGACATGACTGTTAGACAGATCGTAAACTAATGAACACTGAGAATGCAAGCATTGTTTGTTTGCTCAGAGTTTGGCGTTCTCAGCGTCATCAAAATAAAGGCCAGCCACGGCATCAAAATAAAAGTCACAACAGCAAGCGCGGCTTACGTCACTTCAGAGTTCCTACTGGCTGTGCGAATGCTACCAGAAAACGTTCCTGGGGAACCATTATTTCTCTGGGAACCATCCTGGTGGTTAGTTCCTACTATCTGGTGCGAAAGCCCCTTTGTAAGGAAATAGCTGCAAAAAAAATTGCACCTGAAAGAACCATTTACCGGATCAGGAGAGTATCAGCTTCAGTAAAGAAGGCTTTAGGACGTCACAGAGTGTCCAGCAAGCACCAGGACTGTCTCTTCCTGAGGAATCAGCTATAGAATCGTGTCACCACCAGTGCAGAACTGCTCAATATAGGCAGCAGGTAGTTTCAAGTGGATCTGCACACACAGCCAGGCCAAGACTTTTGGACAACAACCTGATGTAAAGAAGGACACCAAAGAAGCCACTTCTCTCCAAGAAAACATCCAAGATGGACTGAAATTCTGCAGGAAGTACAAGGATTGGAAGTACAAGCCCCCTTCCGACTGTTTGGGACATCGGGAAAACCGATAGTCTAGAGAAAAAAAAGTGAACGCTACCATGAGTCCTGCGTCGTGCAAACAGTGAGGCATCCTGAGACCATCCATGGGAGTGTTAAATTGACCCCAAACATATCCTTGATAACAAAAATTTTATAATATAATAATATAAAGCCATTAAAACACCAAAAAATATATATATATTTATTTTTCATTGATTGAATTCTATGTCAATCAGTGAGATTTTATGGTGATTTATTTGCTAATTTGTCCATAGTTGTGCAATAAGTATTCCAGATGTATAAGGGGCAGGGTGGGGATGGGGGTGTAGGTGGTGTTTTATTTAAAGGGCTATTTAACAAGTCAACAAAGAAACAAAGTACCTGACTTAAACCTTTGTAAAAAAAAAACAAAAAAAAAACACCTTCATATTCTGGGGGTTTAAATTGTTTTTAATTGCTGTTTAAATTGCCCTAGTTGGTAAAAAAGGTTTTTGAAAATAATTATTAGGTTGTGTACACACTATTCAAGGTGTAAGTAAAATATGTTGTATTTTTAGATTTAAATTTTTTTTTTTTTTTTTATCGTGGAAATTCTTATTTGTCATTAACACAATCGGAAAGCAATAAAGTAAGGCGAGAGACAAAATGTGCATTTCATCCGAGGCCTACATTCTTCTTGCACTTTGCTTCCTCCAAAATTGCATGTGTTTCTTCTCTCATTATGTCCTCTGTAATTCTCGGTCGTATCCCCCATAATTTTGCCTACATTTTTTTTGTTTATTTTCTGTCTTTCCATTCTTTTCTCTCTTTTCTCTACTTTCCGGCCATTCCATTGTTTCCAGGGAATATTCTGCATTGCCAAACTCAGTTAGACAGGCGTATATTAAGTTGTGAAAGATTGATGTGCCATTGACTCGGCCGGTCTCTCGTCTTGCCATAGGCTTAAATCATTCATACGAACATTTTAAGATGTTTCTTTTGAAGTCAAAGGGCTTCAGGAGGTGCATGCTTTTATTTAGACTATTGGTTTAGTGTTGATACATTTAATGTGTCTAAATCATTAAAATTTCGCTTATTAGAAGTGCAACACGAAGTCGTCCTGATTTACTCTCTGTCAGAAGTACAAGCTTACAGCCTACAGGGAGTTACAGTTGTTTTGTATTATATTCTCCAAAGTAGGCTGCTTTAGCTCTGCCTTAACAATAACCACACAGATGTGAATACCCTAAGGAATAGCTTGGCTGAGATCTATTCCAGAGTCTGTTCTGGTAGGTGGGTGTGTGTGTTGTGTTGTGTTTTGTTTTGCAGAGATTGGGGACTAACCGTACCCCACAGCGCTATACCATGAGGCAGGACAATCTATGCAGTCCGCCATTGATCTCAGAAAGTGACTGGTGAGTATAATGCAATTTATCAAATCAGCATCTGTCATCCTCATGGGACACTCTGACACGATGCAAATTCACTTCACACCATCCAATAAAACATCCTATCAGCCTCAGCCATTAACATGATGGACTGCCCTCCGGTAAGTAGGATTGTGGATCACAACAAGGACTTTTATAAAACCCTAAAACAGCTGGACAAACTCATAACTCTCATTTTTGAGGTTATTCTTTTGGCTTGCATGTTCAGGGTGTTCAGTAAGCTCACCCTCTCCCCGCCCACCCGTCCAATCCTGGGTTAAGAGCATGCAGGAATGTCCACAATGCAAGGACTATTAGCTAAACTGTTCAGCTACCAGAAACATCCTTCCATATTTGGACCCACAGTGCATGGATTTGAAAATCCAGCCCTCTTCCTGTGTCTCTCTGCCTTCTATTTCAGCTCAGTATTTACAAGAGTACCAAGTGGCCATATAAGACGCTGAAAAATAACAAAGAACAACAAAAACTGCTGAATTAAAATATGAAATTAAACCAATTTGAAACTCAAACAGACTACAAGTCACTGGCACATTTAATTGTAAATAGTTTATCATCTATATTTGCATGATGAAATTTTATTTTAATTCATTAAAAAACAGATTGATGTTTATATTGCTGTACGGTTCAAAAGTTTAGGGTAAGCAAGCTTTTGTTTATCAATATTAAATTAGTAACTTTTATTCAGCAAAAATACACTATATTGATCAAAATAAGTGACATTTATAATGTTACAAGATATTTATATTTCATACAAATGTTGTTTTATTCTTTAAATTCATAGAATCATGAGTAAAATATATCACATTTCCACAAAAACATTAAACGGCACAACTGTTTTCACTTCATAAGAGGAAATGTGGGCACCAAATCAGCATATTAAAATAGTTAATAGTGAAATATAATATGACACAGTCGACTGGAGTAATGGCTGCAGAAAATGTTGTCATCACAGAAATAAATTACATTTTAAAATATAAAAATAGAATAGTTATTATAATTATATTATAATGTAGCTAGTTTCATGACTTTGGTATTTTAGATGTCACTGTCAGCTAGTAATACTACAACTGAATCATTTAGTCTAGTTTTAGATTTTTCTCATTTATTATATACATATTTTTAATAAATAAATAAACTAGGCGTGCAACTTAATGATGCAATCGATAATGAAAAAAAATCGACAATGGATTTCAAAATCGACTAATCGGGTCTGTGCACTGTCATCGGAAAACGTCTCTGGTTACTCACGTAACCGTAGATCCCTGAGAGGAGGGAACGAGACATTACGTATGGGGAAATCCATTTTCCTCGAATCATGAAGTCTGATAGAATAACTCTTTTGCTTGCAAATAGCCAATGGCGGTCCCGCCATCACCTGATTGGCTGACACTGCTCAATATAGGTGACGGCGGGCGCCAAAAACCTCAGAATCTTAGCTGAACGAGAGTAAGGAGACTGAGAGTCCCTCCCACACGGCAGGTTACGTAATGTCTCGTTCCCTCCTCTCAGGGAACTACGGTTACGTGAGTAACCAGAGACGTTCCCTTATCGAGTCGGTCTCTCGACATTACGTATGGGGAACAATAAAACCTCCGCCGCGTGGGAGAAACCCCGCCCAGCTCTCAGGAACAGACACCGGACCTGGTTGAAACATCTATTGGCACAGAGCCAACTCGGCATCTGCACCAACGAAGGCCCCTCCCATCAAGCTAAGCACGCTGAACTGAATGGAGGGAGATTGCAGCAAGTGATTGGTGCTTAGGAAAATACTGCCGGCTATGAATGCGGACATAACAAAGGGCACAATATAGTGAACATGATAGCTATGCTAATAATAACTCGCACTGTCTGACGACTAGTCGAACCGTGGCTAGAGCGCGCGCCATCGGGGCAGTCTAGCCTAGTCCAACGACAGCACAGCTTTCTCTCCCTGCACTGACAGACATGTGGTGCGAATGAAGGGATATTCAAGTTATAGAATCTCGCGAAGGTATTACGAGACGACCAACCTGCCGCGAAACAAATGTCTTGAATAGACATGCCTTTCGCCCACGCCCATGATGACGCCAAACTCCTAGTGGAGTGGGCGTGCACCCCTTTAGGGAAACGGCTTCCCGTGAAGCATAAGCCAGCCAGTGCACAGCCTCCACTATCCAGTGAGATAGCCTCCGTTTCGACAGCGCGCCGCCTCTTAGCACCCGCGTAGCAGACGAAGAGCTGCTCTGAAGTTCGAAACTGGCTAGTTCTGTTCAAATAAGCACGCAGGGCACGCATGGGGCACAAGCGTACTTCTGAGACTCTGAAACACTGACCTCATCCGGGAAAAATGCTGGAATTGCAACCACCTGGGCTCTGATGAATATACGCAGTAGATAATAGCCCCATAATAGCATAGCACCTCAGTAAACAACAAACAAATAGCCGTAGCTACAACTGTGAGTAGACGAGTTAGCACAGAATAGCCAGTTGTACTGAAGGAAACGGGGCAACATAACAGCATAGCACATGTACGTAACAGCATCGGTCGCTGTAGCGCATCCATGCATGTACATAACGCAGCATAAGTCGCCGTAGCGACAGAACTGCGTAGAGACAGAAACTGAGATGTACAGTTCGATCAGGATGGCTAGCTGCACGGAAACGGGGCAGCATTACAGCATAACACATGGTAAATTGCACATCCGTGTACGTACATACATTCAGAAACTGTGAGTATGCACAGTAGATTAAGATAGCTAGTTTTGCACTGAAAGAAACAGAGCAACAAAATAGCAACACGCGTCCTTATACGTACATAAGTGCAGTGTAGTCGCTGTAGCGACAAACTGAATATGCAGTTAGATAGGATAGCTGGTTGTTGCACTGAATGATAGAGGGCAACATAACAGCATAACACATCAGTGTGCACATTTTAAACATCTGTGTGTATAATGCAGCTCAAGTTGCTGAAGCGACCGAAACTGCATGAATATGCGTACACAATGGTCCATTACATTGAAGGGCAGCATAACGCTTCAATATCTTCACAGATGCAATGCAAGTCGCCGTAGCGACGACTGAGACTATGCACAAGCATAGTTACATTTTTGTGTACAAAAAACACAGCGTCAGAGGCATAGCGACATCGACTGTAAATACGTAGTTAATCGGAATAGCCGGCTGCACTGAGGATACAGGGCAACATATAACGGCATAAATCATAGACACATATCAATGTACATAACACAGCGTCTGTGGCATCGCGCAACAACTGTGACTACACAGTAAAAGAGTAGCCAGTTGCACTGAAGGGTACAGGGCAATATATAGCGGCGTAATAGTTACACATATCAGTGCGTTGTGTGTACACAGCGTCAGTTGCATCGTAAAACAATTGTGAATACGTAGTGATCAGAATAGCCATTTGCACTGAAGGATAGGGCAAAATATG